GTTCATTTTCTGTCTGTGATAGAAATGGATTGAAAATCATCTAATTCTATCATTTTTTTTACTTTCTTTGTGTGAAAATTTTTTTTTTTTTAAATCAACGACGTCTGTCACCTTTCTACTTTCTTCCTGTGATAGAATTGTTTGTTTTTTTCTTTTAATCAACTAATTCGGTCATTTTTCTACTTTCTTTGTGTGGTAAAAAAATGTGTTCTTTTTTAAATCAGCTAATTCTGTTGTTTATCGACTTTCTTTGTGTGGTAGATATTTTTTTAATCAATCAGTTCTGTCGTTTCTACTTTCTTTTCGTGACACAAGTGAAAAAAAATTCTGTCGTTTTTCTATTTTCTTTCTGCAATGAATTTTCTTTTTTTAATCAACTAATTCTGTCGTTTTTCTACTTTCATTTTGTGATGTCAGGGAGCGCCCCTACTGTGGTGCGCAGAAAAAGCGACAACAAAGAATGCCACAACTTCCAAATCAAGAACCTCAAAGAGGCCTTTGAAGATTACAAGGAGCTGGTGACCTTCAAATCGCTGCCTGCCAACGTTCCGCTGGTCAGCAAAGACAAGAAAAAAATGTCGCCAGAGGAAAAGAACGCAGTGACCTACGCTGTGGTCATCGAATCCAGAGGGATTATAGATGGCACACGGCTTTCGGATCAGCACATCAGTCTCAAAGCTCACAATCTGGTACAGCATTCGAAAAGTACACAAGTTACCAATGGCGTCGTAGATGAGGATCATGAAGAAGAGAATGGGGCTGTTGATGAGGAGGAAGAGGAGTGTGAGGAGAGTGAGGGTGAGGAGGAAGAGGAGGAGGAGGAGGGTGGGGGGAAGGAGATGGTGGAGGTTGCCATTAAAGCGGGTGGTTTATCATCATCGTCGTCGACTCATGGTGTGGCGGGGGCGGGTACTCCTGGTGGGATTAGTGCGACTTGTGGTGGGCTTACCTCCCCTTTGCTTCCGGTTCCTACGTCGAAGACGTCTACTCCTGTTTGAATGGGGATGGAGAGTTGGGGAGGGGGGG